AACCTTGGAGTGGAGATTGAAAGTGAAGACGCTGAATCATCCTCATTTGGCCGCCATCAGACTTATCGTTGAGACAAGAAATCTCTGCAACTTCTGGACGCCGGTCTACAATTTTGCCCTCAGATTCTTAAGGATTTATATACTGAGGTAAGACAGTCGGGATTCCAGAAAAAGTCTTAAATTGCTTCAGGGTTCCAAATTCTATTAATTTGTTTGTAATTAAAATCATTTCCAGTTGTTCAAACAAGTTACAGATTGCCGTAGTCATCATGAACTTGGTTTTTCTCAAGCCAAATTAACACGAAATTATAATTCCAGGGTTGACCTTATGTAGGTAATTTAGACAACTGTGGGTAAGACACAAACAATGTTGATAATTTTATAGTTTTAAGTACATTTTCCCTGTTTTATGATAGAAATTGTCTTGTAATTTTCATGTTGGTGCAAAGCAATAAGTTTGCAACAGGAGTCAGTCACATGGTCTCAAATTTTGCAAAATCGTTTAAACCATTTGTTTACAATCAGTTTTGATTTCTCAAAGTTAGGTTAGGTTGTCCAAAAGGAAGAAATGATATATTTAGTAGTTTTTAGAAATTTTTGTCATTCTTGGCCTAGGCCTACCTTGTACTTGTTCACCATGCTTTTGTTCAAATGTAGTTCAGTGTTTTAAATATTTCTTGTTTAGCTTAGAAAATGTAATCAACCTACGCTCACTAAATTAAATATAAAGAATGTATTTTGTAAATTATTTATTTTGTAAATGTCAGAAACCAAATTGTTGCTCAGTTGTTCTAAGATAGGCCTAACTTGAGGCAAGAACAGTTTAAGACCTAGTTTCACTTACCGTTAATGACCTTTTGTCATAACAACTACAAAATGGATTAAAATTACAGCTAATCAAGGCCTAGCCTTCATGGAACACATGACTTAAGTTATAGGACTACTGTTAATATTTAACCAGAACAGAAATTATTCACGAGGAATTACAGGGTGTACGTTCCGGCCTGCAAGAGTTCAGACCTACGTCTTATGAGAGATCCTACCTACGGCTTGTGAGAGATCCGACCTACTGCTGGAGAGACGTTACCAGAATTGGCCCACTTACAACCTTGGCCTATCCAACATCGTACGGGGCTGTGGACCTGGACCACGTCCACCCCTACCACCTGTCATCGCAGCGGACCTCCACTGTCTGATAAGTCCTAGGCTAGCCTTTACCGTAACTTTCATCTGACTACAGTTCAACTATCAGCCTACTAAATCATTTTAATTTGGCCAAATACAAAGACTAAGTCAATTTCTCTGGACATTTAACTTAACTTACTCAACTTCTGGTGCATCAAGATTCAAATTTCATTCAAATTTCAATCCAGTTATCTTCAGACTGTATTTTGTGCAACTCCAAGTGCCGAGGGAACTAGACGCAACTAAACCATCGTCTCAACATATTCTGTAGGCTAGGCCTAACTTTTAGAGATATATAGATTACGGTAATCGTTCGGATTGTAGCCGAAAGGGTAATAGTGTCTTTGATATTTGTCGCTGGTGTTGCCTAGTTTTAAGATTGTCTATTTTATTATTTTTGTGTATCTAGTATTGTGTCACATTATGCTCTGCCGGATTGATTAGAGACCTGATATATTTTGTCTCTGTTGTCCCCTGTTTAATTGTAAGATTGTCTATTATTATTGTGTATTTTGTGTCATATTATTGCTTTGTCGGATTGATTATTGACTACGGTCGAACATATATTTTGTCTAATGTTGTCTTTTGAGTAAAAATTAATTGTTGCTTTTCTGTAAATATACTTTGCTACCGTCTGCGCAGTCGGAAATTCCAAAAGCTTTTGGTCACAAAAAAAAAAATAATGTAAATAAATAAATAGCCTATTTGAGTTATATTTTAGGTTCAAGTGTCTTGGTAGTAACGAATACTGAACGAAGAACGTTGTATGTAGCATTTTGATTGATTATTATTTCGTACCGGACATTTGAGTCAGGCTTGTCTGTGCAAAATATTTACTTGTAATAAACCTTCGCTTATTTTGTCATATCTTGTGTCATTTTGAAAACCAGTGTATTTGTCATAGTGTATTATAGTGGGCGTAGGTGGGTCAACCTCTGAATTATCCAGTTTTATTCACAATTTTCTCAAAATTGAAACTCACCCCAACGCTAAGTCAACATAGATTTTAGGGACCTGTCGAACCTCATGGTATATAGGAGCATAGGTTAAGACACTCAATACTACAGAGATCTGCAAAATCTGTTACCATCCTGGGGCTGGAACGTTCCCAGTTTATCGACCAGCATCATACCCCGAAACTGGGTGGCGCCCTGCAGCATCACTGAAGTACTTGGTTATTACCCTGGTTCATAGGCTACCTATACACAGTTCCGCCCACGACCCGTCACTGATTGAGACCTAGCCGTGGAGTGTGTCAAGATACGGTAGGTTTTTCATTCGAAACATGAGTGGTTGATGGTTGTGATGATGTAGAACCTTGAGATGTCTTGTCATGTTCAAAATGAAGTAAGGTGTGATGACGTTTGTGGCATTTGAAGCAAGATGCTTTAGACTTACATGTTTTAACATCATGTTTTCCGAGGCAAGAGACACATCTGTTGTTGTCCTTTACGGTTTTAAAACGTTCATTTGAAGAAAGAGAGAGAAAGCTAGGACAAGCATAAACCTTGTGGCCAGTTGATGAGCAGACAAAGCAGGGAAATGAGAAAGGATTTTTTGAGTTGTCTTGATTTGATGGAGTTGGAGTAGAGACCATTGTAACTTTCTGAGCTTGAATGAAAGAGGGCTTGGAGGATGTGAAAGATTTGGGTTTAAAATTTGAATTGTGGTTGTTCGTACTTTGAGCAAACTTGGTATGTAACAGAGCGTCTTCCATTTGGTTACACTCTTGATTAAGAAATTTGACTATTTCGACTACTTCTGGTAGAAAATGTGTTTCGCATTTTATATTAATTCTAAAAGCCTCTAGTTGTTTTAGAAGGTCATTGTCTAGTTTTCGTAAGAGTATGGTGGACAACAGAGGGTTAGAGTTAGAAGTAATGTCACAGTCAAGAGCTTTAAGTGCTTCTGTGTGTTCATAAAACAAGTTGAGGAACGTTCTGAGACATTTGTTTGAGGTAGAGGAAATGTCCGGTAGGTCGATCAGTTTGTTTAGGTGAAGTGTAGTTAACCTTCGGGTGTTGTGGTATCTGTCTCTGAGGAGCTGATAGGCAATTGAGTAATTGGCTGAAGCTTCCACTGGACTGAAAGCTTTTACGAGATTTAGTTGTTCATTTTTGAGCACGCTGAGAAGATATTGAAATTTAGTGACGTTTGAAATGCTTTCATTCAGATGGATGCTAGTGTCAAATAAGTTGATGAAACTTACCCACTGTAGAGGAGAACCATCAAACGTGATGAGGTCTAGTTTTGGGAGTCTTACGTGAGCAGATGATGAAGCTGAGATGTCACTAATTCTTGTTGAATCTTTACTTTCTTCTGGAACATCTTGCGGCTGCTGTTGGAGAAGGGCTTCAATCCGAGACTTGGCTTCGACGAATAGCAGTCGCAGTTTGTCTTCAGTGTCACATACTGCATCCAAATCTAATTCTTCTGATATATGTTCCAAGGCTCTTTCCAGGTAATTTTCATAGGCTTCATGTTTCTTTTCTAACTGGTTCGAGAAGTTGTTTAAAGTTCTGATTTGTATCACTGACAAGATTGAGGGGGAAAGTGTTTCAAGCTCTTGTACAGATTTGAGAATCTTTTCAAAAGAATTTTGTATGAGAAGGGTTGATTTGTTGAAGTTTGAGAGTGAAATTGATCTGGTAGCCATATTGGACAAAACAGATGGAGTGAAACTTTACTAAGAATTAGATAGAGTTTGTGACACTATGAGAGTGGGGAGAAACATAAAGAGATTGAATGATAAAATAAAGATATTTCGATAGCTTGAAAGTGTTCTGAAAATTGAATCCAAAGACTGAAATTCAAAATCCAGGCTCGATTAGGACCAATGAATGTTTTGTAGAGAATGAAATTAAATGGAGATTATAAGAGGAGAAAAAAATGAACACACTTTTGGGATAGGAGAACAAGCACTGTTTTATTTACTTTTTTATACACAACATGTGTTAGCAATAGAGAATAATTTAATTTGATTAAGAACACATGTTAGTTGCAAGGAAAAGAGATGTACATTAAATAAAACATAGAGTGTTAAATAATATGAATGGTTAAAGTTTACTGAACACCTAAAGCCTAGCTTTAGGCTGGCGGTGCTCTGTGATGCTTACAAAAACAATATGGGAATTCCTGATCAAATACTTACAACAGTTGCTGAGGGAAGGTGAAGCACAGCCGACTCTCTGCCATGACCTCATGTACACTGATGTCACCTCCCAGCCCAGAGTGGAACCTGTATGTCTGGACTGTGGGGTTGGCAAACAACAGCCGCAGCTGTCCCTGGTGAGGTAGCTTCTAATACAAATACTTACAACAGTTGCTGAGGGAAGGTGAAGCACAGCCGACTCTCTGCCATGACCTCATGTACACTGATGTCACCTCCCAGCCCAGAGTGGAACCTGTACGTCTGGACTGTGGGGTTGGCAAACAACAGCCGCAGCTGTCCCTGGTGAGGTAACTTCAACTACAAATACTTACAACAGTTGCTGAGGGAAGGTGAAGCACAGCCGACTCTCTGCCATGACCTCATGTACACTGATGTCACCTCCCAGCCCAAAGTGGAACCTGTATGTCTGGACTGTGGGGTTGGCAAAGAACAGCCGCAGCTGTCCCTGGTGAGGTAGCTTCTAATACAAATACTTACAACAGTTGTTGAGGGAAGGTGAAGCACAGCCGACTCTCTGCCATGACCTCATGTACACTGATGTCACCTCCCAGCCCAGAGTGGAACCTGTACGTCTGGACTGTGGGGTTGGCAAACAACAGCCGCAGCTGTCCCTGGTGAGGTAACTTCAACTACAAATACTTACAACAGTTGCTGAGGGAAGGTGAAGCACAGCCGACTCTCTGCCATGACCTCATGTACACTGATGTCACCTCCCAGCCCAGAGTGGAACCTGTACGTCTGGACTGTGGGGTTGGCAAACAACAGCCGCAGCTGTCCCTGGTGAGGTAACTTTAGCTTGGAGCCCAGCCTGGGTGGCAGCGACTGCGACCTGCGGTGACAGTGGATCTGGAAAAACACAGAAACGTGTGTTGATAAGTTGAATCCTGCACTAAATCCAACTCTATTCCGAGGTGGAATTGGTTTATGTAGGAAGTCACCAACTTTTTTTTATTTGGGAAATAAGTATACAATGGACACTTGTTAATCCAGTAGGTTTGGAAATCCTGCTTAATAAATAGTGATTCAAAGTGTTTCAGTGGTAGGTATCACAATTTTTTCCTGCGATATACTGTTGTTTTTCAGTACACTTACTCGACTGTGTTTCAGGGGTTTTCATTCAACTTTCACTTTTACCAACCACTTAGCCAATTTTTTGTTCAAGGAAGGCTCTAGGTCAGGATTTTTATTAGTAGAATAAAGAGATAGTAGCTAGCTCAACTTAAGTGGCTTATACATGGGGGAAGTAGACAGCAAGTTGCTGATTGCAAGTACTTGTTATCTGAAATTACTGAATACTAACAAGTAATTACTGAATACTCACTACAGAAAGTAACTCTATAGACAAGGTAAGTATGCATTGAGTCTGGCAAGTAATTATATCCAAAAACTTGCCGTTTTTACTTCCTCCTTCTATTAGTCGCTTTAGAGAAAAATAGGTAGGCCAAGGAACAAAAAGAAAAAAGAAGAAAATCCATAATAATATGTACCTTACGGAAATATTGGGTATTCTCTGTGTCTTCTACCTGATAATGAATGGCCTACCTATACTTTTTCCAACATAAGCCAGCTGTTATCCTTCAGTAAGGTAATTTTTGCATGAAGACACTGACTCACCGCTGCAGTATCTATGCTGGCTGTCCTACAAGGTGTAGACTCAGTGCTAGGAGTTCCCTGGTCTTCTCTCTCCAGCGCCCAGACCAGAAGACTCAGGAATCCCACAGTTGTCCCAGCACAGGACTTGAGAGGTATCCTGCACACATAATGAACATAGTATACACTATAAATGTACCTAAAAATCATCCTATCTTAATCTTAGAGATACAACTGATGATATAATCCTCCCGCTAACAAAAGAAAGGGAAATGTAGAAACATTAAAATACCCCCGCCACAGCAAACCTGCAGACTAAGCGAATTTCCATTTGACTGATTTGATTTACACTGAAATGTCTACTTAAAAATATAACATTTATTCCCGATTTAAATAGAATTAGTTTAACAAGTACTTAGGTTTGCTGCATCAGGGAGGGTAAAACTGTTTTTTTTTGTAAAATGTTAATAGTTAGTAAGAAATAAAAACATTTTCTAAATTTGATCAAAATATGTTCATAAACAAGCAAACTACAACACTTTACTTATTCTCCATAAGAATAACATGGGAATTTTCAATTTCAAATTTTTTGGAATTTTCTCCGTAACCATTAGGCGCATAATAACGCTTCAATATACTAAATTATTTGTTTTTTTAAGCTCTACAAAATGGTTTGGAAAGAAATTGCTAAATTTTATTTTTTTAGGTCAAAAATGGGAAAAACCTATTTTTACCCCATAAAACCCCCCCGTAAACCCCCGTTACCATGGTCCGATCATGCTGGATCGCGAACTCGTTTAAATAAACGTAGGTCTACACGTTTGTACCAAATTTCATCAAAATCGGATCATTTTTGCTCGAGTTATCGTGCTAACGGACACATATGTATATAAATATATATATAAATATATATATATATACCGGTATATGAATTTGAACGGATGGTGTTTTTGGCCTCTAGGGACCTCAAAACGAAAAAAAAAAATCGGTCCCGCGTCCAGGTCTTACCATGAGTACTACGGTAATAGCTTATTCCCTATATGGGAAATTCGCTAAAATTACTAATTTTCTTCATGATTGCAGTTGGTGTTCACGATTTTGCCACAATTATGGGAGACAATGATGACGCTGAAGATGGTCAGGACTACGCCATGACCGCAAAAGCTGTTCTCGATTTCCCCATGGCCACCGATATGTCCTCTAGGGAAATATTGGGTATTTTTGTGTGTCTTCTATCTGTTCTATGGCCTACCTTCAGTTAGGTCATTATTGTATGAAGGCATTTAACCATGATCACGGAAGACATTCTCAGTCATGACCGGGACTGCGGGAAATGTTCACCAGAAGATGTCCTCGATTATACTATGACCGCAGATAATGTTCACATTTTGCTGTTATAGCTGAAGATGTTCTCAATCTTGCCATGACAACAGGAGTTGTTTTTTATTGTACTATGACCACAGAATATGATTTTGCAGTGAAGGCAGGTGATGTTCACAATGATTAAACAGTCGAGGTTTTCATTCACTAACGGAGTTTCATGAGCGTTTCGTTTACACAACTAAATACGGTAGGTCGCTGGCTGTTAAACACTAAAAAACGGTCTTAAATCCATCACAACAAAATCGCACTAAAATAAGTCAAGATTTTCTTGGTGATATTTCACAATGTATGCATAACTCCAGGATTCCCCAGCCTATGGCTACTCTGTACAATGTAGTCTATGTACCTGAGTCTCTCGCAGTCCTGTAGTGTGCCTAGTGTGATACAGGCACTGCCCAGGGGAGTGGCTGTCTGAGACACAGGCTCTCTCACGTCATACACAGTCAGTCTCACCTTGGAGCTGGCGTTGAGGCCATCACTGGAGCGGAAACTTACGGTGTTCAGGAAACTGGGATTGCTGCTTTTCTGTAGAGACAAATCAACAATGGTTAAGCAAGTTAAATAACAATTGTCGAGGAGATTTAAAGCAATAAGAGCAATAAGCAATGAGACGTTACCTCTATGACCTCGGTCTTGGCGTACTTGAGTAGTACCCTTTCCTCAGGAATGTACACATGCACCAGCAGTACAGGGTTGGGAGGACGGCCATGGCCGTCACACAGTAGGTTGTCACACGAGAGAGATACCTCACACAGCGGCAACTCACACGGGTCTACAACACACGGTATATCATCTGTGAGCCAACATGCATAAAAATATCATGAGGTATCAGGGCAATCATAACTTAAAAAAGGCTTTTTTTCAAAATAAATAGGCTATATCTTTGATCAGAATAAATTGCCACACAAGTTTAAAACTATGACTACATGCCCAGTATTTTAAAAAAATTATAGAATATTTTGAGGGGAAAGTCAAGTGGCTAAGGATTTCTCCTGAAGAGCTTTACTTAGCCATAAGCTAGTTTAGCTAGCTTACCTAAGCCCAGAAACTTATAGGTACACAGTAGAAGGTCACATTTGATAAGACTGATAATTTGTCCTCATATAGGACTTCAACAGAAATAACACACATCTGACATTACAGAGAAATGTCAGTTTAAGTTATAACTGAATAAACTTCAGTGTTCTCGTCTGTGGGCAAGATGAAGAAAAAGTATAGTCACATTCTGTATTTACAATTCAAAAACTTTCAGGATGTAACATTTTAGCCGACTGAGACAAATTCATTTTGTAAATATTAATGATATTGAATGCTTTTGGAAAATAGTACTGATTAACAACAATCAATTTTTAATGTCATACTTCAGTGGAAATACTACGGTTGGGTCAGTGAAGAGTTTTTGCAATACAGGCAAAACAAAAACTGGAGTAGTAAATATTGTTTATAGAACAATTGTTAACAATTTTTGGTAGTTTTGCGGTTTTATTTAGAATACAACTGAACACTATTTACCTAGAGTCTGGTTCCGACGTAACCGCCACATCTGGATATCCAGATCCGGGTCTTGACCTCTACGAGTTTCCAACCTGCAATGTTATGAATTAAAACTAGTGTTAACAATGTTTTACAAATCTTGCATATGCCTGTCCACATAAGGTATAGACGCACGTTCCACCTGTGCGTAGAACATATAGCAAAACAATGGGTGAGCTGGTACAAGGGTGAAGTGAACTGATAAAAAGTAGTGGCATGAACCAGGAGACGAACCTACGACATTGCCGCCTTGGACCCCAAGTCTGTGGCGCTACCGATTGAGCCACAGACTCATCATTTGCCATAGAGTAGGCACCTAGTGTTCCTTTATTTGTGCTTCACAATGGGATGAGAGCGCAGATTGTAGTATTACGGTTCTTTAAAGCTTAATTCGGAAACAACAATTATAATAGCTTGAAAATATATTATACCTACACAGAAAACTTAACACGTACTGTTTTTGACTGCAGCAAAAGAACGGTCGTAGTTGAATTGAATTGACAAACAGCTCCATAACTACATAGCTTCACATCTACAATGTTACCTACAGCTCGTGACAATCTGGCATTTGGCTGATCCGCTACTAGTGTTTAGCTCAAAAACGATGTCCCATCTTGCGGGTTGCATCAACTGTCCTCGCAACCCTATGAAGGCGCTCAAGTACATAATACAAGGGGAGTCAACCCCGAGAGGCAGCTGAAATGTTTCCAGTCTTTTCCCTACCTCCACCCCACTGCCCACACTAGGCCAAGTGCCAGCTTAGATGTCAAGAGCTGTACGTCCAGTACAGTAATAGTTACCTCTGCTGTAGAGCTAGCAGCTGAGTCCTCATACACTCGTGGCTGGACAGCTGGATGGCCTGCAACCACTGATCCCTCTCCTGCAGACTCAGAGCAGCCACGTGTTGTGACAGGCCTCCTTCAAACACTGCCACAACATACAGGGGGTTAGAGATTGAATAGGTATTCTAAAATGATAGCAACGAGAAAAATAATTATCAAACAATTGTGAAAATGTTAAAAAACCACGTCGATAAAGATTCTCCATTTGCAAACCTATGAAAGGTTTTTGTTTTCCATAAAATCCCTAGATTTGTTCTGTCTTTAATTTTTAATCCATTGACACAAATGGCATGAAAAATAACTGATAAAAAATCAAGTATTAAATTATTAAGTGCCAGTTTTATCAAAATCATACCCATAAACAAGCAAACTACAAAAGTTTACTAAGACCTACCCTCCATAAAATTTAAATTTACAGTTTTTTGAAGAATTTGCTCCGTAACCAACAACTCACTTCGAAGGTCAACAGAGCTGCCATGCCATTTCTTGGCACTCAATCTTTTGCAAGATGAGTCAGATTACCTATGACTGGATAATCAATTCTGCTACATTGATAATATTGATTTTCTCTAATTAACAATACTAAAATTGAAAAAATGAGTCTTACGATGTAGGAATGTAACTGTAAGCAAATGAATGCAAACAATCTTTAAAATCGCAACACAATATTTGGGTGTTTTTAAAACCTTGGTGTCTCAGACTTTGGCATAAAAGAGGGACAGGTTCCGCTCACAAAAAGTTGAACACACATTCGTTGAAAAAATATGCCAACTTTTTTGGTTGTTTACAGTGTCTTTAGGATTTAAACATAAGAAAATCACAACTAATTTATTAATATCATTAAAATTTTTATTGAATTTATTGTTTTTATGGAATTTGAATATAACATTTTAAAAAGACTGCATTTTTAAAATTTATAAAGCTTAAACAATAATATTATGGGAGATTTTGAACAAACAAACACATTAAAGTCCCTACCAAGATTCATAAAAATATCTCCAAATGGTTTTTAGTTATATATTTTTTAATCAAGAAAAACGGCAGCTTAAGGCTTGGACAAAGCCCAAATAAAAGATTTTACATGACATTTTTGACTTATATTTGTATGTAAAGTTTTGTCCTGAAGAACTCGTTACGCATTTTTGTGACACCCTGTGTGTAACTGTGCATACCTAGACTGAACCCAAACGGGCCATCAGTGGTGTTGGAGGTGGCGGGGGGATCCAGCTTGACGGAGCACTGTTCCAACACGACTACACCCAGCGGCTCCGACCACTGGTCTCGGGTCTTGAAGTAAAACAGCAGGTTACCTCGCAGTCTGCACCACCGCTCTAGGCTAACTGTAAGTTAAGGAAAACTGTGAGACCAACTAACCAAACAAATATGTGTAACAAGCCAACAATTTAAAATTACATGGATGTAACATAGAGTACATCGGAGCCTAAGTTTAAAAGATTTTTGAGAGGTAGTAGGCTTACATGAATGGGAATAGCCCACTTTGGCACAGAAAACACATGATGCTTCACACTATACACAAAAGTAGCCAGGAAGACGTTATCCTTGACAGTGGTGGTATCACAAATCTTCCAGTGGAAGAACGCTCTCACCACTGTCGCGGAAAAATATGAGTCGCTTACCAATATATAGGATCTTTGAAAAAAGCTGAGTGGGATTGCTGTGAGCACTACACAGCTGATATTAGATTGGAAACAGTTGGACCTGAAGATTCTCTCCTTCCGACTCAAACCTTCCTCGGTTGAAATTCTGTCAGTAATAGTGAATGGTGATAATTTTTGTGGACAGTGTTTTTGTGCCGGAATGGACTGTTTCCATTCAGATAAGCCTGCTATCGTAACATAAGTATTTACGATAAATTATATTTTACTATTGAACTGATATACTTAATTAAAACAAAAAGCAGTTTAAAAGGTTAGCTGTAAAAAAGGACAATGAGGTCTTGAGGCCGGCCTTAATAAATAAGTATTTTCATTTCAAGTTCTTTAAACTATCGACTAAACTCAAATTCTTCGGTGTAAGAAGTTATTCATCTATACTAAAGTTTTATTTTAAAAATCTTTATCCATCCTACATACAGTCCTTAAGACAAGGTGCTTAAAAAACATAAAATGTAGGATATTTTTTCCAAGTTGTCTGGGTGTTAAAACTAAGAAAACATTTTTTATCTATTCTCTGGTCTATTTCTCATCACATTGTCATCCAAAATGAAACAGTAAATCAATACACTGTAGATTTAAATTTTTTCATTTTAACATCTTTTTACTAAATGAAATTTGACACATGATCATGTTTCACAAAACCGTTTCTACTATCTATAAGCAATACAAATAATATTATACCTACGCTAATAAATACTTGTATAAATTGAAAACCCTTCTAAGTACTTACCCGTTCCTCTACTAAGTGCAAAAATCTACTCCACTAACAATACTTATGCAAAACACACTATTTTTGGCAAAAGCAACACACATTACAGCACAAACTATGCAGCGAAGGATGCAAACATGACAGAATTGCATGTAGAAAGGCAATAAACGATGATGCAAGAGGCACTGGCACGAGTAACTCACCCCTCGGTTGACACTGAACGACTCAAAACTGCAACTTATGGGTAAGACAGAAATATAAACCATTTTATCCACGACATTGTGTTGTATTTGTGTAACAGCTTAATCTGATCAAGGAAAAGGGAAGAACAAATATAGATTAAATTTTTAATCAATCCTTACTTTTACAAAATGTGATATATGTGATACTTATCGATAACAATTATTTCAGTTATATTGTATCAACAAGCAAGAATAAAAAAAAAAATAGTAAAAACAATTAACTGGCCAAAATTATTGTTATTTATTTTAGAATAAAGTATTGACTCAGGGATAGACTGATTTAAACAAACATGTATTAAAAAGAGCATTTACTATGTATAAAATTTTATTTATATCACTGATATCTAAAGATTTAAAGGGAATATTATAAACTATCGGAGACTAAGCCAGGCTTGACCAAAAACTCTTAATCAAGGATTCAGCTTCTCAAAGTTGGTGAAATAAAAAAAAATTAAACTCCTATGTATGACAGAAATATAGCTTAAACTTTTTTCATTAGATTTTTAAAGATAAAAAAATAAAACCAAAATGTAGTATATTCAATCTTGTTATAAGTTACAAACCTCTTTCTTAGCTAGATATTTTTTAGTTAGAAGTCTAAAGGTAAGGTATACTTCTTTGTCCATATAATTTTAAAACACAACCTATATAAGTCAAATTTATCTTTATTATTTCAGTTTAATGATTACTATTGTTACTATTTAACATGTTGATGCTGCCAGAATAGCAAAAACAGATTAGAAAGATCAGAACTTGACAACTGATAAGATAAAACTTAACACGGAGATAAACTGGTGTGAACAATTAGTAACAGTTGTTAAACAAGTAATAATGAATATAAATACTTAATGTTGTTTTTAAGCTGAAACAAGACACATTGTACACAACACCTTACAACTATAGTTCGGCCGCTTAGATAGCGACCTGCGCGCTAATGCTAAACCAATGCTAGAGGAGATCGCTTTCTAAGCGGCCGAACTATAGTATTTTTTACTGTTAAAAGTAGACATCCCATTACCATATTTTAAGTTGTAGCCGGTTTAAAAAGAAGAGTCAAACTAGATTTGCGTCTAACAGCGTGTGTTTGACGACAACTTTTGATTTTTGTTGTACACAACAACTATTTAACTAAGCCAAACTGAAAGATCAATTTACCGTAAACTATGGCACCTTTGGGTCATGAAAGTGTCAAAAACTAAGAGATAAAATGGATTACAACTGTAGCCTACTCTGTTATCGGGTTATTCAGCTCAATTATTTATGAATGGAAATTAGCTACATCTATTCACATTGATAGGATGTCTACCCTCTTCAAAAGTCAATGGTCTGTTTAAAAATTTTAGGCAGTTTGAGGGGAAGTGATTCCATCCTCAACTCACCCTAAACTTTGAAACAACAGCCGACAGCTGATATGCAGATTAAGCTTAAAAAGTAGCGAGGGCACAAAGGAAACCTCCCTCTTAAACCGCCTAAATTTTGTGAACAGACTTATGTGCCAAATACAATGAAACACTGGGGGTTAAACATAATTCTCCAGCAGCGACAATCAGCTTTACGACCCCTCGACCTGCAAACAATCACAATAACACAGACGACAGGAAAAGAAGAGCGCCCAACGTGTTAGTCGCTACAATAGTGTTAGCGTGAAGGTGTTAAGCCACGACACTGTTGGTTAGTGTTATCCATGCGCAGTTAAAAGTGTAAAGTACCTTTGCTGGTTCCACTATAGCAGCTCAGTTCACGTAGTTTTCCCCGTTTCCCTCTTTTCGAGTCTTTCCCTGGAACGTTTACAAGATAAGTCACGACCCTACCTGCCGTCACCGCAGATTAACAATGCCATGCTCTCACATAGAAAACACACAACCGAACATGCCAGAGCAGGCTGAGATTACCAGTATTGAGTTAATGGAGTGAAAAATTCGATTATTTAAAATATATTGATACACTAACAAGATGTGTGCTATACAGTAAAGTACCACAAACTTGGCATAATGTTGTTGTAACTTGGAAATTAAAACAATCAAAGTAAATGTAAGTTTTCCAAAATTCTTCATTACTGGTAAACTCTTAAATAAACATTTTATAGAAACATAATGAACTTACAACACTAGAACATGCTGGAGGGGGAACACACATTGAAAAAAAAACAACTGTACATAATTAATACTAATTTGTTAAAAACGGAAACATTTAAGATAAGTAGTGCTACCCCTCCCAATGTTTGATGGATGATTAAGTTAAATATTAGTGTTATTAAACAAGAAAAATAACATAGAGAAAAGATTAAAATTCATATTTCAAAGCAAACATAAATTAAGTACCTATACCTATAATAAATAACTAATTTTATAATAAAATTTTGTAGGTATTAAACTTTCTCCCATGATTCAAACTCCTTTTGTGTTTTTTTATAACAACTATTTTAGTTAAGTTTACTTGAAATAACATCTTTAAGCAGAGTAGGTATTAAATATATAATAACTCACCAACAAACACAAAACAGAAAATATAGGCCCCTAGAGCCTATGCAAAATTAGGCCAAAACAAATAAAACTTTTAAGTTTTAAGAATGTTAAAAAAACAGAAAATATGTTTCTGAAGTCAGTTTAAAAGAAACATATGTGGCCTAAAGAAGCCCAATCATTTAGTAATTGGAATAACAAAAAAAATTAGAAAAATATTTTCTAGCACAGAAAAGTTTCTGTCAAAACCAGAATGATCGGCCTTCAGAGTTGCCAGCAAACAGTTAATATAATAGACTTGATTTACATAAAGCTCTAAACAATGCAGTTTAAACAATGATACATCCCACCTGTGTGTGCCCTTGCAACCTATGAGACGATACATTCTTTCTCCGCATACCATTAAACCTACATGTGGAGATAGGTACTGTGGAATCAATGGCACTTGAGATTTGTAAATAATCTGTGTATAGGCCTAATTCAGTTTACTCAACTGATTAACTTTATTTTTAAATGTTAAATAATAGTTGTTTAATAGTTTTTCCATTTATAAAATAAAATTAAGTTTAGAATATGGAAAAATATTCAAGTATCTGTAGTTCAAGGTTCAAAATAAAACAGCACTGACTTGTAAAAAAGAGTACAAAAATGCACAACGTTCAAGGTTAATAAAGTAAGGTAGCCTAAACAAATGTATACCTCCAACAAGGAATGCGTAATGCCAAATGCTCGGTAAACGTCACAAAAAGGGGCTTTCAAAACGGATGCACCAATGTTATTTGACGCTACTCACTCTCTGTCCTACGAAAGAAGCCTTCCTGGCGTTCCCTCAGCAGTAGAACACCTTCCTTGTCAAACTTCTGCGAAGGTTGAGTAGCCAGGGTCAACAGTTCTTGCTTGTTGTACCTCATCCTGGCCCCTGAAATGCAGAAAATATTGATTGGTAGGCCTATACATTACCTATATACCTGGCCGCTAGAATGCAGAGTAAATTTTGACTCATTTATTGTGGTCCCTGAAGACTATGGATTGGTATATCATGACTACTGAAATGATGAGTAAATAGTGATTAATTTATATTCACCCCTGGATGGCAAAGTAAATATTGACTGATTAACTTTCCCATGAAATGCAGAGCAAATAACAATTTTTAATGTTCTAGCCCTTCAAATGCATAGAACTATTTGATAGGTAAATCCTAACTAATTTCCCCCACAAAATGCAGAGAAAAAATTTATTTATATGTCCTAACCTTGAAATGCATAGAACATTTAGATTGGTACTCCTGGCTTCTGGAATACTGAGTAAATATTGAATAACTTATACTGACTTTAAGAGTCCTAAGAGTCCTAAGAGTATACTAACTTAAGAGTCCTTGGAGCCTAGACATTTTAACTCATAAAACAATTAAAAACCTACAATGAACATTTCTAATCTCATAGTATACTAGATATTTAAATTTAATCACTTTGGTACCTATTTGAAAAAATAATTTGAGATGGTAAATAACTCTTTAGCGGCTGTTTGAAATTATATTCATACTCATAACAAATTTAACATTGCTCTTATGGCGGGGGAATCCAAGATGGCCGTTGGCTTCCATATGGACTCCCTTGAAAAACAATTTAAAACTACAAAGACAATTTCTAATCCCACAGTATATTAGATATTTAAATTATAATCACTTTAGTGTTTGAAAAATATTGTTGGATGATAATTAACTCTTCAGCAGCTGTTTAAAATTATCCAAGATGATGGCTAGCCTCCAAGGACTCTTAAAATGTAGAGCAAATATTGACTAACTTATCCTTGCACATGAAATGCAGGGTAACTGATTGATTTATTGTAACGCCGGACATTTAATGGCTTATGTTGGTTAGGGAAAAGACCCTCTACAGTCGACAATTAAAATAAAACACTAAAACTAATTTTTCAGTTTTCTAAAAGCCTGAATTCTCTAACAAAAATGTTTACTACACAATTTCGTTGTTTCTCACTTATTCGACAAATGAAGGGCCCCGGTCTGAACTCAAATCATGTAAGAATTTAACCCGAAGGGTGTTGTATTACTGACAACGTCAGATTATCAATATTGGGTTTATCTCAATGCATTTGATTAAGATCAAAATAAAAATAAACTGGCCATTATTTTCTGCATTATTAAGAACTATGAAACATTTGGTACATCATAAAAACTATGATATACTGAAATACTGTCACAAAGTACAATACAATTATATTAGGCCAATAACAAGCCTAGTTCAATAATAACTAGAGCCAACTCATAAAAACTAACTCTGCGTTTGTAACCTCCAAACGAGGCCATAGTTTGTGGTGTCCTGATTGCTAATTTGCATACAAAACCAATTTTAAATATAACTTATTAATCATGCTCTAGTAGTTTTGCCTTGATTGTGGTCATCTTCACATTTAATAATGATAAAGTATGCCCTATGCATCTTAAAACCATAGAAAATTAATAAGTTCAAGGTCTTTTTAGAATTTAGAATCTGAAATCATTTGGAAATTAATTAAAGATTAGAAAAAATAGATTACTGACAAGGTAGTGGGTATGTGTTTGTCAGTTTATTTAAAAATTTTATTTTACTAATAGCTAACTGTGGCTTTAAAACACCTTTTTACTGTGGGAACCCCAGACACCAGAATGATTGGAAACAAGAAACACAAATATTTTCAAAATATTTTTGGAGGTGAATGAAAGGTTCTCCTAAAATATTGTTTTGGGGGCTTCAAAGGTATTTGGTTTTGTAAAAATCAGACTGAAGTTGCAGCATGTTGTTTTATTGCATTTAAATAACAATTTTACACTACTTGGCCACCGTTGTTTTAGATTACACATGATTGGTTGGTGCCATTGCTTAATCTTTGACTATTGATACAACTATTGATATAACTTTTTACAACTACATTGTTCATAATAAAACTGTCAACAACAATGAAGTATAACAATAAATTTGTTAAAAACAATGTATAAATTAATTGACATAAAAAGGTACTGTAACTTATTCTTTTAGGGGGCAGCAAACTAGAAACAAAACACCAAATTTTTAATGTCCATGGAATTAATCAATAAAGGTTTATTCCCTAAAACTTTTTTTGTTGCTGGTAGTCACAAATTTTGTTTTGCATGAAGTATTACTTGATAGAATCCACAGCTAATATGAGCCAAAAAATTGAACAATTCAAAGAGAGTGGAGCCGTACTTCCTTAACGGTGGACACGGCGGTTGCCGGGGGCCTCGGCCTAGGAGAGGTCTCAAATTTGTTGTCTTGATAAATTTATTTCTCTTTTTTTCCGCGATCAATGGAGATGTTGATAAAATCTCCGCGACCGAAAAAGATCTTTACTATTTCGCCATTAATGTAAGAGTTTTCACTAATCACACGGGATCGCGGAAGATGTCCAGGATTTTATCGCTACCACGAGAGTAGAAGATCATGTACCTGCAAACTTGGAAGATCTTCACAATTTTGTCATGATCGAAGGAGACAAAGATGATCTCCGTAATAGCGCATGATGTTCACTATTTTGCCTTGAACGTAGAAGATGTTCTTGATCACTCCGGGACCGCGGCAGATGTCCACGATTTTACTGTGACCACAGAAGACGCCTACAATTTGGCCGAGATTACAGATTTTGTACAAACCAGTTAAATAGTATATCAATTAATAGGCCTACATTTGAAATGCATTATTTCCAAAACTAACTGATTTAGATTCAATGAAGGCCAACATTTTTTATTCAACCCGAAAGAAAAGAAAAATGTCTGGATGCTGAGATATTAGGCTACTATTTAAAAACATAATAGACTTATTTATTAGCTTTATTTAGACTTCTGGGTCTTTTTGAATCGGATTGTTGAAAAAAGGTCAATTCATCGAGTTGAAGCAATAACACATGTATTTCTACAGCCTTCAAATCAAATCAAATCAAATCAAAATATCCTTTATTCATGTAAGTACAATTGTACAGGAATAGAGTCAGATATTACAAAATAAAATGTTTTACATTTAAGAACTAAAAATAAGACAGAATATTTATTTTATTTGTTCTCCCAAAACTCTTCAAGAGAATAAGGGGAAATTTTAATCAAATACTGTTTCAGACAATTTTTAAACTTTTTTGTATCATTTTCATTTAGAAGTATTTTTGGAAGATGGGACATAAATTTATTTCCTGCGAATTTTGTTTTCTTTTTATAAAATTCTAGATTGTGTCTATCAATGTGAGATTGAGAACGAGTGTTATAATTATGACTAATTTTGTTTGATACCTGAGTTTTTGTAATATTTTTTGCATAAATAATAGTTTCCAAGATATATAGTCCATGAACAGTTAGTATTCCAAGATCGGTAAAAATATGTTTTACCGAATCTTTCCTTTTCAAATTAAACATTGCCCTAATTGCCCTTTTCTGGTACGATAAAATCCGTTTTAAGTTTTTTGATGTAGTTGCTCCATATATACTGATTCCATAAGCTAAATTAGAATGAACTAAGGCATAATATATTGATATTAATGTTTTTAAGCTGCAAACTTTATACATTTGTCTTAAAGCAGATACTCCTGAAGACATTTTTTTGATAACATGATCAACATGTTTGTCCCAGGCAAGATTTTTATCAATTATTAAACCAAGAAATTTTGTATGTTCTACCTGTTGTAATTTATAATCTTCTAAGATTATGTCTGGATTTAATTTGTTTTTGTTTTGTTTTGTAGAAAATGATACAAAATTAGATTTTTCAGGGTTTAAAAGAAGGTTTTTGCTATCTAAGAATTTTTTTATGATGGAGAGACTGGCCAATGATGATGCCTCAATACTTTCTTCTGAATTTCCACAAATGGTAATATTAGTATCATCAGCATACAAACAGGCCGCCCCGCCCACAGGCATCAAGTCCGGCAGACCCCTCAAGTATATTAGGAACAAGAGGGGCCCCAACACCGACCCCTGCGGAACTCCATGGCGGACCATCTGCATCTGTGAATTAAACTTTTGGATGTAATTATATTTACTTGAGAAATCTGATTTATAATGTTCTATCTCAACATATTGTTGCCTAAGAAATAGGTAGGATTTAAACCAATTTAATTCTTTGTCATGAATACCTAATTTTGATAAAGTGTCGATAAGATTTTCATGCGATACACTATCAAATGCCCTTGTTAAATCAAGAAAAATGCCAATTACTTTTTCTCTCTTATCCACTGCATTTATTATACTTTCAATAAATTCAATAACTGCAGTGACTGTCGATTTGCCTGCTTGAAATCCATGTTGTTCTGAATCCATTAAGTTATGTTCATTTAAAAAATCCATCAATTGTATAAAAACAACTTTTTCTAAGATTTTTGAAAAAACTGGAAGAAGTGAAATTGGTCGGTAACAGGAAACATCGTTTGGTTCCCCTTTTTTGAAAACTGGAATAATTTTTGCTATTTTGAGTTTATTAGGAAAAATGCCTGAAATGAGAGAAGAATTTACTATATGTAAAAGAGGTTTTAAAATAGCAGGAAGAACTTTTTTAACAGTAATAATTGAAACATCATCATAGCCAGTAGAATATTTGTTTTCAAAAGATAATATTAATTTTTCAAGATCTTTCTCATCAATTTGCTTGAATTTGAATTTATTAATGGAAATTAAATGCTGAGAATGCACCACACTACCTTTTCCTTGAAGAATTTTAGGAAGAACAGAATTATCAACCACAGACACAAAGAAATCATTGAAACTATTACTGACCTGGAGAGGATCAGTAATAAATATACCATCTCTCAAAATATCAATGTTACATTTTGAAATCTTTTTGTTGTTTACCTCTGAGTTAATTAATTTCCAAGTTTGTTTTGCTTTATTCTTTGCATTATTTACTTTTCTATCAAAAAACATTT